TCGCCGCTCCTGGGCCCCTGCACCATGAGCGCCCCCAGTCCGAGGTCCTTTCACGTCGCCTTTTTCTTGGCCTGCGTCGCTTTCGTGATGCCAAACGCCGCGTGCTGGTCGGGCACCACGTCGTCCTCGTCCTCCGGGTTGACGGGCTGCAGGTGCGCCGGCACGTAGACCTCGTCGTCGGGCAGGCGGTCCTTGCAGAAGTCCTCGAAGAGGTCGGCGTCGCCCGCGCGGTGCAGGTGGACGTGGGTGTGCGTCGCGTCTTTGTTCTGCGGGCGAGGGTCAGCATGGTTCTTTGCAGCAAGGGGACATGCGGCAGGCCAGCGACGCACCATCTTGTGAAGCTGATGGTGTTGAGCAGGAATCTGGAGGGTTGGATGAACGTCCAGAGAAGACAACGGGTCAAAGGGAGGTGGTCTGAACATGCCAAGCCGAATCGTAATGTTGCTGGTGCTCCCCGCCATTTCAGGGCCCGTGCGTCGGCCCCTACATCGACATCATCGCCAGCCTGAGAAACTCACACTCACAATAGGAGGGTACGTCTAGATGCCAGAGTCTTTTGTGGTTTCCTCCAGCATAATCACCGACTATCTTTCAACCTTCTGATCTCAACAGACAAACTGCTGTCCTCGTTCCTCCAAACACCCCCCCCGGCCCACGACAACACACTTGACCTGCACTGGATTCATCATCCTCGCAGCAAGGGCCCAGACCTCTTCCTGACGAAGAAGAATCTCCTCCCGCGCCGCGCAGATCAAAGCCTCGCACGACATGCTGGACCGGGAGACACACGATTCCTTCGGCACCAGGAGCGACCCTTCTCTATCATGCCAAGCCCCGTAGACGGCGGGACAATCTGGCGGCGCTGGCCCAGGAATCTACTCTCACCATATCAGTCGAGCAGTCAAGGTAGGAATGGATGAAGAAGGTACTGACCGAGGCCGGCGAACAGCTCCATGCAGAGTCCGCGGAGGGTACGAAGCCTGGGAACGGCCTGTCTGGCGAGGGAAAGAAGCGCGTCGCAGGCCTGAACGGCTTGACGGTGGGATCTGCTGACTCTGCGGCTAGTGATGTGGCCAGGGGCGTGCAGGTCGCAAACAAGGGTGTCATGGTGACGAGAAGCAATCTGGAAAAGGAGGCAAGGCGCATCATGGGCTGTCGCCTGTGGCTTCGATGGGCTCTGTGCACTGTTGCGTCACGCTTTTGGTGATAGTTCTATGAGAATGATCCGCATGAGGTGATCATATGCTGAGATCCTCACACACGCCCTTGATTTTATGCCTTCTCTGTATTCACCATCTCGAAGCATGTTTGATGCCATCAAGGTACAATGTATCCTCATCCGCTGACCAGGTTCACGGCTTTAGGCCGTGTGGCGAGGCAACGTGACTGATTACCAAAGATGCCCATATGACTGTTTGGCCTCACTTGACAATATTGAGTGTTGAACACAAACAACCACAACCTCGCAGTCGTCACAAAGTCACCGAGGCCATGCTCCAAGATGTGACGCCCCGCAGTCACTTACACTAGGAGTACCAGCAGTCACACATACAGGGACAGCAGCCCGCACGCCGTAACACCTAGAGGGCAAGCCGATCCCAGCTTTGGCGCGTGGCCGGTCCAGTCGAGGTCCTTCTCGACAACAGCAAAGAATAGAGAAAGGGATCATATTACGTCACATGGAGACGGCCCGAACCCAGCGCCAAATGACATTTACGGCAGAA